TGGGAAGTCTTGAAGACAATATCATCATTCACTACTTTGACATAAGTGGGGATATACGTTATTCCCACTTTTTTCTAAACTTATATCAAAATTGAGTTTTCTATCAATTTTTCATGCGAAATTAATATAAGTACTAGCCTTCACACATATTTTGTGTAAGTATTTGTCATATTCAATCTTTTTAATATATATGTAGAATATCTTTGAACGCGTTTCACTTATTTGTTCGAAAACGTCGTTGATATTCGCTATGCACTGCGATCGATCTGTCTTCAAACCTTTCTCCATGTGCTTCAAATGAGTGCAATCAAGGGTGGATGCATTTTCAACTGGCTGGGTTGAATGAACAAATAGAAAATCATATAACCCCTAAGCTAAATGGTTAGCTGCTAATTATGAAGTAGATCTGTTAGTTTTTTCACTTTATTATTACAACTATTAAGAGATATATTGCAATAGACTATAAGAAAAAATAATTAATGTTTCCTGTTTATTTTAGTATATTTCTTATTTATATATCCTTGAGACTTAGAAGTAAATACTAAATTACAATTATGTTAACTACCAAATTGACTAATAGTAGTCAATGTATATTATTATATTTCATATTTAATACTTCCTACCAATTTAATGAACCAACTCTTATTGCCACTTCCGAAACAAGAACGATAAATTAAATGGTTCTCTGTGATTTTGTTGTTGTTGTTTAAGTGCTGCAATAAACATTTAAATATTTTTGGAAACTGCAATGCACTTAACTCAACTCTTCAGGTAGGTGTGCCAGTTGTTTATTGGCCATAACCAATTAATCGCTCGCATGTAACCGCTTATTATCGAATTGCCAAGTGCAGGCAAATTAATGCAACTGCATTAAAATATTGTGCAAAATAAAATATAATTAAATTAAAAACAAAATAACTTATTTTACAAGTGCAGCAACTTCATATTACAATAAATACATAAATAAAAAAATTCAAGAATAAATCATCAAATTGCATTTGAAATTCAAGCCTCGTTAAGAAATGCAAGCAAATACGTTTCTCAACTAAAGCAACACACACGTGCGCATAAATTACTCTGAACTCGTGCTACAAATGCACTATGATTTTTAATGTCCAAAAAGTAAGTGACTGCTGCAATCTTCGTAGTGCACTTTTGCTTGCTGCAATCTTCGGGGTGCAGTTCTGCGTTTAATTTTATTTATCTGCATTTTTAAAAGGTTCCAAAAATTGATTCTTGTCTGTGTGGGAAATGCATTTTTAATTTATTCGAATCTTATCATTTTTATAGTTTCAAGTGCAATAAACTGAAATGGTTCGTCATGTAATTTGTTGCAAAAAAAAAAAAAATACTTATAAAAACGTAAAACCGAAACATTTATTTTATGAATTTCCCTTGACCTTCAAGATGCTTTGCTTATTTTGTTTACATTTTTTATATATAAAAATTTTTTATATTTTACCACATATAATTTTTTCTTTTTTTTGTTTTTTTTTTTGGACAATTTTATTGGTCATTTTATTGTTTTGTGTATGTCTTTTTATATTTGCGTAACTTTCTCTGCGGCTTTAACTGGGCGATTTCGTTTTAACACTCTTAACAACAGCCGATAAATTAGCAACACTAACAGCAACAAAAACAACAACAACTACAACTACAATAGCAACATGTTTTACAAATTCAGGGTCAACGCTAAGAGCAAAAGTATCTCAGATACGCTATATACATATATAACATATATAGACAATCATTTTGTGTGACAAGATTTTAGTCATTTTTGCATTCAATATTTCTATATAAGCACCAAATAACACAAATACACTTAAAAATATTTTTTTTTATTAAATAAATTTTTTACTGAAACAGAAAAATTTATATAATTTTAATTACTTTTATACAACTATCATACATACACATTTATAAATAAACATTTCTGAATTTTTTAAAAAAATTTTTGCAAAAGAAAATTTTAAATTATTTTTGCAATGTTTTAATTTATTTTTAATAAATTTACTTAATTTATTAATTAAGCATTTTAGCTTCATTTAGTCGTTGATTTGTTGCATGTCTCTGTTAACTTCTCTACTTGTGCTTCATTGCAAAGGTTAAACAGTTTTGCATTAAATTGAACATGAAAATTAACAAATTTAAAACACATTTCATTGATGCTTCAACTTTTTATTTTTATTTTTATTTTTTTCTCATTTTGTTGCCTGCAACATAATTGTTGTCAAGTTGTCAGACTTTCAAAAAGTTAATAAATGTTATTAAATAATAACGCAATTAAGCATCTTTATGACTTCATATTAAGTGCAATTAGACCTTAACTAGAGCGCACGTCCGAACAGGATTGTACGCAAATTAACATGCCAAAACCATAAATTTTAATATCGTAATATATTTGTATATAATACATATGTATGTAATAATTTATTTATTACTGAAACAATATATATAGGTCACGTTGTACATTAATTAAAAACACATATTTTATACATTTGATGGATAATTAAATTTGACAGACATGCTTTCAAACTAAAATCAATATTACAATTGATTCAATAACAAAATATATGTTATCAATGTAACTGACATATTGAAATATAATTTTTTTTAATTCACAAATAAAATAGTAAAAACTATTATGCTTTGAGTATCATAGTTTCAGCCTCTTTCATTTGTAATGTTCATGACTTTGTTTTAATAAATAAATACATTTCAGCTAAGCAAGATGAGTTAACACAATATAATATCGTTTCGCACAGGAATTATCTTTTGAACGGATTCTAACTAATCGTAATCAATAACTTCACATACACATTCGGTCAATTAATCTCATCAACTTACTCTAGTCAGCATCTATCACTATAGATGGCTGTAGAATATCGCGTATGGATCCTAGGAATCAGAATGTGTTTAAAAACACCTTACTCACACCCACTTACACTTTTGTTAGTTCGGTTAATTCAAAGAGTAACAGCTGTAACCGTCTGTTCTTCAGCTCAATATCGAAAACCACTACAGGATTTTCCGCTGCTACATCTCACTTTTATGTTTAAAAATACTTCTTTAGATGAAGTATAGCATCGTCTACAACTCATTACAGGAATTATCTCAATAATAATAAATCTTCAATAATTCTTCTTTAGATAAATTATAGAATTATCTACAATTCATTACATGAAATTATCTTAGTAATAATAATTCTACAATAATTCGTCTTTAGATGAATAGTAAAATTATCTACAAATCTTCAAATGAATTATCTTAATAACTCTGCAGTAATTTTATAATTTTTCTTTACATCAATTCTTGAATTATCTACAATTTCTTAAATGAATTATCTTGAAGAATTCTTCAAATGAATTATCCATTCTCTTAATCAATCGTTTTACAATTTTTAAAATTACTTATTGAATTAATTAAAAAACTTTTTCTTTTAAGAGATATGTATTTAGATCAAACTTGCTATAGATAATTAAATAAACATTTTTACATTAGACATCGTTCTCCTCTATTGCCCTTCACCCTTCTTAAAAGGGTATAATAATAATTTGTTACGATAATTCTAAAAAATATTTGAAAAATCAATCTTGTCGAGAATTTCTAAAGGAATAAGTTAAAAATATTTATCAAATTTGCTAAAACCACAAAATTTTTGTTTTTTAAAATAAATATTTATTATTATTCTTACCGAAATACAAAATACCGAAAAATTACTAAAAAATCGGAAGAGAACTTATATTTCGTTACTTCGTTAAACGCAAATGAAAAATCAGTCCACTGCTTTTTATGTGTATTAATAGACCTAATTCACGTGATTTAAAAGAAGTTTTTCCCAGACTGCACTTAGTTGCCTGATAAACCTTCACAGTTGATTTATAGGTGTAAATCGTTAAACCATTTATAGAAGATGAATTTTGTGGTTTGGAAAAGTTCTCTAAATAAATTAATTTTTTAAGTTCAACTGGAAATAGTTTTTGAGAGTAAAAATTTTCTTGTTAAAATTTTTCTATAATTTAAACGAACAACTTTTGTAGTGCTGAGAGATTAAGATAAGAATAAAAATGCTAGTATGTTTTCATATATTATATATTTTAAATTATATACATCATTACAGATTTTATTATAATTGTATTATAATTGACTAAATAAAGAACACATAAATCGCTCCTAAAATATATATCGTATGCTGTAATTCGAAAATAATTCTATACTAATAAAGTAGACAGATGTATGTACAATTAAAATGAATTCCTAGACTAGATTTAGTGACCTCCATAAAATATAAAATCCGAAGTAAAGAAATTACTTCATTCCGTAAGTACATACAATTGACTTTATGTTGATGTATGTCCTAACACCTTTTAAGATACATTCAAAAAATTTAATGTTAAAATAAATAAAATATAATCATGTGAATATAAAAGTATATACATTAATGTTCGTAATTTTTAAAGTTCTTTAACTGATCTTAGCTATAATACTTTCAACGAGCTTGACATTGACACAGCAGTTTGACTTTGTTCATTTGACAACGAATATAAAATAAATAAAAACTACTGCGAAAATGAATGCAATTCTGTTGATTTATCAAATTTTTTTGCCTAAAAGAATATTTTTGAACTCGAATAATAATAATAAAAATTATTATTATAAGCAAAAATTATAGAAATGTTTTTTCACTTTTCACTTTCCATATTCAGTCAAAATAATTATTCGCCGCTAAAGGTTTAAATAACGCAATCAGTTACAAATTGAAAAACTCAAATTGCAATGATATTTAACTTATAGTTAATATTTTATAAAAAATTTTTAACAATTTCTATATAAAATTAAAACAAAAAAATAATACTAATAAGAGCATTTCGTATGCGTATAACATAAAACAGAATTTAAAGTGTTGTAGTTGTCAATTATTACTTGATTAAAATAATTAATCTTTTATCAGTTATAAGCATATTGTGCCATTTTTTGTATATAAAATAAATCTTATTAACTTCAAAAGAAATATTTGTGAAATGATTATTAAACGTAAAGGCATCCAACATACACTCAGAACCATACTCGCCTTACTGCAGTACATGGTGAATAAAAAGCGCATGAGCACCACTTGTCCAAATGCCACTTTAACTGCGTCCAACAACAGTGTTACATCGAAACCACCTGTACCTTGTGTGGGAGCCAATGTGTATGCTTGTAAGACATGTACTGAAACTTTAATTCTACTTTCTAATATATCACCTACAACTGGTCCTATTGGTGATATACAAATATGTTCGCAAAGTAGGTATTATAAATGATATTATTTCTTCCAAAAAAAGCAATATATAAAAAAATAATAATTATTATTAAATATTGTTAATATAATACATTATTGTTTCAAGTTTAAAATATGACAGAAAAGAAATCAGCAGACTATTGACTCAAAACAGAACTGAGCACTGTTACCATGGCTAATATCCTGAAGCACATACAGTGTGGAGTATCGCTGATATATCTGGTACCGCGGGGTCAAAGCCAACAGCTTCAACTCTGCTGATTAATAGCGGTTGGGTCCATTATAGAGTGTCATGGCAACTGTAATTAAAACTCAAATATACTCGGGTAGAATGTACTCGGGTTACTTTTATTGCAGTTGAAATGGCATTCTCCAACCGGGTGCTATAACCAAATGAACAGCAGATATGTTAGTTAGGTGTTGTTCTCCATTAAAGAGAAACTTATATCCAAGCATATAATTGTAATTAGTACTGACGGAATGTTTCCAATGTTGTGTTTTTCGGAGCAATATACGAGTGCTGAGTACACCGGATATTAAGCCTTCACTGCAGGTAACCACATAAAACAACTCTGAGATTCTGACTGTAATCAAAATTAGAAAGTCACAAAGAACTTGGCATAAGGTCTTAATCTATTTCAAACAGAATCAACATTTAGTCTACTCAGGGATATACATCATGAGATGGTAAGGTGGGCTTTGTCACGGTTACAATTAACTTTTCTATTAGAGAGTTTGTCAGAAGAGGGTTAGAGTTCACATAAACATGTAAACTTTTTAATTTACAGTTTCGCATCTAAGTTTAATTAATTAGAGCTTAACTTACCTTCCTTAATATAAGTTTGTGGTTAGAAAGAACAGTTTCTGAGCTTAATATAGTTTATATTACTGCATGAAACATATTATTAAATCTAATAGTAGTATGTTTACTACTATGTTAAATGCTTAACTTGCCTTTCACCCAAAATTCAGTTGTAGGAAAGAGAATCTGTGGGCGTGGAGAAGACATTACTTCATAAAACATAAAGCAGTGAATCTAATAATCATTTTTCTTCTTTCCTTTATGATCACTTATATTATAAGTAACTCTTATTAGTAACTCTTATGCAGAATTGTATGTTACTTTCAATATGATATTGAACTACTTTCGGTATTTTTTATGTTAAACCTAAAGATAAAACATAGTCTAAGATACGGTCGAAATGGTTCAATAAACCTCGAATTTTACTGCGAAATTATATTTATGCTTCGTTTTTCCCCACATAACCGGCGCTGATTAACTTTAAGATACGTAATCCATGTGCCTCACTTGTCTTATATTTATTTTATGAGTAACCAGAAATCTTTAAAAAATTTTGGTTTATTTTATGAGTAATACAAATATTAAATCAATTTAAAAAAAAAAATTTTAAATAACAGTCGTTAAATGCAATTGAGGTGTCACTTTACGTCATAACTATTTAAAAACTAAAATTTTATTAAACATAAAAAAAGATTTATTTGCCAAAATTTTTAAAGATGTGATTATAGATAAACTTTCATATACTTATACTTATAAAATATATATAAAAATCTTAAAATAATTTATTACTAAAAGTGATTTTTAAAAATATTATTACTATTATTATAATATTTTTATATTAATTTTTGTTATATTGTACATTTTTATTTTATTTAATTACACATTTAAATTATAAATTTATTAATTTAAAATTTAATTTTAGGGTTTATTAATTTATTTTTACTTCATTTATTTATTACGAAATATATTTTTAATTTTAACATATGTTATTAATTTAAAATAAACTTAATAACTTATTGTGTTTTTATTAATTTTTAGTTATTTAAATAATTTAAAACAATTGCCACAACTATATTATTTGTTATTTCAACTGATTTTTATATTACTGCGAGTTAGATTGATAAAGAAATGATTCTGCCTCAAATTCAATGCAGACAGTCCATGGATTCGTTTTTGTTTTCTATATAGTCCTTGTTATTAAAAATTTCTCTAGATAGTTAGTTATTCTACATTAGTAAGGTTATAACACTCATGTATAAATAAAAGAAGTGGACATCTGATATGGAAAACTAACGTAGATTCAATACAACAATGTATGACGGAAGTTGGAGTTGGAGAACTGCTATAAGTCCATTAAGGAGGCACAACTGATCTCAAGGTCACGGTGCAACTTCCCTCTATATAATAATAACAAATAAAGTAAAATTAAAGTGTTAGCTTTGTACACCTAAAATTCACTTGAGCTTAAATAATGGCCATTGCGATATTTCACCAAAGTTGCTTATACGACAAACAAAGATGACTACTAAAACATGTATAAAGACCAAAGCGATCGGTGTATAGACAACTTCGAGAAGAACAAGTATTCTTCGTAATGACGATTGTTATGAGACCTGCATTTTTCACTCAAAAGTTATTCACATCACAATAACCAATATATTTCCTTTGGTAATTTTGAATCACTTTCTCACAACTCTTCCTTGTCTTGGAGTACGGGTTTTGGAAAAATTGTAAACCGGCTCCTTATTACTTTAGATATCTGCAGAATAGTTTTGGATTTCTATTTGGATTTCTTCGAAGTCTTCAGAGAGATAGCCTAGCTTCTCTCTTACACTAAGCAACCATAAATTTAGGTTGATATTTATAATTCATTTTCCTCCTCTTAGTTTACAGCCGATATCAATCGTTTTTTAATCCCTTTTTGTTACTGTAAATTTTTAATTTTTAATATATTTTTTTATCTAAAAGAAATGTAAGTAATATTAAGTATTTTTTATATTTGATTTATTTAAATGTTTATATAATTTCAATTAATAAATTTAATTTTGGTTTTTTAATTTCAGATAGACTAGCTGTGATAATAATTGGAATAGTAACATTAATTTTAGGCATAATTTTATCATCAATTCCGTGGGTGGATTATTTCATATTGCAGGTAAAATTAATTTTAAAAATAATAAATTACAAATTAATTTCAAGATTTTTTAATGATTTCATTTAAAGAATCTAAGGCTGTGGAACGATAGCTTAAGTTTTCATTATTGGCAAAGGCCTGGAGTCATACGTTTAACAAAAGTTTATATTTATAACGTCACAAATCCCGATGGGTTTTTAAGTGGTGAGAAGCCAAAATTACAAGAGGTGGGACCTTTTGTTTATAGGTAAGTTCAAATGAGACTTGTCATTTAAACCTGATTTTGTTTTTTTTTTTTTTGTAGTTATTGTCTTAATATTTATCTTAATGATTTATACATATTAATTGTTTAACTAAATATTGTTAAAATTAGTTGTTTATTTTTTCGCATTCATTTCGCATTCAACTTAAAAGCAGCTCAGTGATAAGAATCAGTCGTTATGTTTTTTTTTAATTCTTGACAATTGTAAACAAAATAATAATAATAATTGAGAGACATTAAGTAGATGTATGTACAAACTTAAGCAATTATTTATAATAATTTGTTTAAGCAAACGTTTTAAGAGATTAAATTTTAATTTCTACAATTTTATTAGAGACAAAGTCTAATTGTTTTTAAGCGAACTCTGTGCGCTTAATTAAAACGAAAAAATAATATTATAGATTAAAAATATAACAAAAGTTTTGTTTATATTATAATTAATCTTTTGGTTTTTTAGTTCCGCTTGAACCCAGAGGATATTTTAAATTGTTCGCAATTAGCATTCATTTCATGTTCATACTTCTGTAATGACTATGACTGCATAGAAAATCTTTATTGTCTTCTATAGCCGAAAAAGTCAGAAAAAACAAAATTTTTTAAGCTAAACTAAGTTGCTAAACTAAGATAATTAAATTTTGTAATAATAACTAATTTCCTTTAAATTAAAAATTGATTTTAAATTACCTTCACACCTTTGTAAATTTAACAATTTTTGTCAAATATATCACTTTCTTCCCGACCTTCAGTATTTGTATTTGTGCCTTAAACAAATATTATTATTTACCTAATTTATTATAAACAATTTATGGTAACAATTATTTTTGTTTTAAGTTTAGTCGCACATACAAAATCTCCCACGCAGTAAATCATTGCAGATTCAAATGTTCAAACAACAAATGTTGCCAATAAACATTTTAACAGTCAAATTAAGATTTATTTGACATCTCAACAATTACTTAAGTACTAAAAAAGGGGACTGAATGACTTTAACTACACTTCACCCAGTTGAGATGTTGAGATGTAATTTCTACAATTTTTTTCAAATATGTATTTTTTTTCCTAAAAAGCATATCGCTTCGTTTAGGCATAAAACAAATAAAGACGGTAAAGCGCCACTATTCCAAGCTCTGCCTCAGATGTGGATGCGTTACACAGTCAAACCGAAACCGCTTAGCTGAAAAACTTAATGTGAATAAATCAGAGACAGTGAACCGCACCGCTTGGCTGAGGCCGCAAAAAGTCATAAAAAGAAACTATTTCAGATGTTGAAGATTTGAATTCCGCTTCAGGTCTACGACTTGCGGTACGCATCAGCACATGCCGTTGTCAACGTACGTGCAATGAGCGAATCGTTAGTATCGCTGCGACAAAAAAACAAATGAAGTGCGTCTTTATCATGAAATTGTTTGGAATTGTATAAAATTAGACTTCATAGACATAAACACTACCAACAATAGCTCAACAGTTACAACAACAACAACAACAATTAAAAAATATTAATCAAATTATTTATTTGGTTTTAGTTGCCTTTATATTTGAACTTGACTTTGAACGTTTTTTACTGAGATAAACTGCGATTTTATTTGCCTCTAATGCGGTGAGGCTAATGCCTCATAAAATGTCGCTGCAATCTGAAAGGTGCATGACTAGCCTTGACTTTCCGAAAGAAATATTTGTTTAGACGTGAAACATAATTTGTTAAAAAAATTATACATAAAAATAATCACACTTTTTTTCATTTGTTTCATTCTAATTGCTTTAATGTTTTTTTCTTTAATGTTTTATAATATATTTTTTATATAATATATATATTTGTTTTGATTTTTAGGGAAGATATGGAAAAAGTTAATGTAAAATTTTACGACAATTACACGGTGTCATATCAACATAAGAAAATTTTACAGTTTGTTCCTGAATTGAGTATTGATAAGAATACGCCAATAGTCACTCCAAATATTCCATTGTTGGTAAGTGAAACTAATAAATATACATATATATATATATGTATATATAATGTATATATAATAATTTTTTTGATGGGGATAATTGGTCAATTTATATACCCGCTCAAACAAGTTATTATATAAAATTTTTGGCCACAAAAATAGAATAAAATATTTTTATAGTATATATATAAACATATAAATAAAACAAAACCAAAAATGTTTAATTTTATTACACATGAAATAGGTAATTTTGCAAGGAATACTTATCGAGTGAAGAAAAACAAAACATAAAGTGTTGGTTTAATAGAAGAAATCGTATGTAAAAGATTTATTCTGAGTCCGTGAAGTGGAGACAATAAGTTTTCAAGACATTTTGCAGCATACCATATTCCTTCCGACAAGAAATGGAACCTAAAGATATACTCTGAATCCGCAAGTATAATTAATGTCCAAGTCGTCTTGCAAGTTTAATAGTAATCAAATATTTATTATTATAATTACTTTATAATAATTTAAATCCTAATTTAATAATAGTAGTCTCTTCTACTGTAATCCTTAAGTATAAATAATGTCCAAGTCGTCTTTCAAATTTAATAGTAATTAAATAGTAATTAAATATTTATTATTATAATTACTTTATAATAATTTAAACCCTAATTTAATAATAGTAATCTCTTCTACTGTAATTCTTACGACAACAATATCAGTAACTAGTCAGCTGTCAGTCAAATTCATGATTTTCTGTAGCAGCATCATTCCTCTTCTTTCCATCTTATTTTCCTTCATTCCCCTTTTCTTTCAAAGCAACACATTTTCTAATATATTCTCTATCAGTTAACTGCAAGTACGAATTAACCATTAGTTTTGATTTTTAAAACTGAGATTGTCTTAATGAAGCCTATGGCACCAAAAAGGCGCCTATGAGCTACTTGAATAGAAAAGGAACTTCTTCCATCACTGAAACAAACTAAACTTAACATGAAATTTTATTTAATGTTTAAATTTAAGCTATCAATGATTGACTTCAAGGAGTGTATATTATTAACGGTCTTAAAAACTAGTGAAGTGGAAAGGTTTCCACCATAACTCCTCCTTAAAACCATAACATCATTTATTACTACTCTTCACTATGTTTCAAAAAAAATCTCATTAAAATGAATAGTCAATAAAATTCGATAATTACAGTTTTTCAAATGGTTAATGGTTGAACAATAAAGTATAAACAGCAAAATTGAGATGAATTAAAACGAAACTCTTTTGCTCTGGAAATTAATAAGTAACTCTTACTTCATTGTTTATTTACTGAATTAATGATAGATTTAAAGAGAGATTCACTGAAATACAAATAAAATTCTTAAGATTTTTCCATTAGTTTTAATAATTTAAATGCTTTTGCTCACTCCAGACGCTTACTAGTTTGAGTCCAAAACTGGGCTATTTATTATCGAAAGCGATATCTGCAGTATTAACGCTTGCTGAACTAAAGCCATTCGTCAATGTTACAGCCGATCAATTGGCATTCGGATATGATGACACTCTAGTGAGTTTAGCGCATAGATTTTATCCGAAACACTTGCGTCCAATGAGTCAAATGGGACTACTTATTGGGGTAAGCACTATAATAAGCTGAGACTAGTAAAATACAAGATGTTAAAATATTAATTATAAATTTAATAAAATAGCGCAATGGTACACTAACTGAAGTCTCATCAATAAAAACTGGACATGCTGATATGAATGAGTTTGGATATATTGATCGTCTAAATGGAATTGATCATTTGCCATATTGGAACCAAAAACCTTGTACGAGTATTTCTGCTTCAGAAGGTTCTTTTTTCCCGCCCAGAGAACGCACAAAAGCTGATATGGTTTATTTATACGATAAAGATTTATGTAGAGTTATACCATTAAAATATCAAGAAGCTGTAGAAAAAGACGGTAGGTCGAGATTGGTGGAGGAACTTCAACATATTCAAATAAATAATCACTTTTTTATCATTAAAGGTATTGATGCTGATCTATTTAACTTAGCAGAAGACTCTTATGGTGACTCACAAAATAATCCTGATAATGAATGTTTCGATACTAAGGATTATGCACCAGTTAAGGGCTTACAAAATATAAGCCCATGTCAATTTGGTGCTCCGGTTTATATATCAAATCCACATTTTTATGCAGCGGATACATCATTGTTGGATGCAGTTGAAGGTTTAAAACCCAATAAATCTTTACATGAAACTTTCTTTAAAATACAACCGGTAAAATTTAGCTCTCTAATGAATGGTTTATGAGTATATATTTAACGTAATTTCATTTTTAGAAAATCGGTGTACCATTGGAAGGTAAAGTACGTATACAATTGAATTTAAGGGTTACCAGAGCGCCAAATGTATTTCCCGTTAAAGATTTTCGTGATTTTGTGTTTCCAATAATGTGGATGGAAGAGGTGAGCTATAAGTTTCTACTATTTATTTCTTAACTCGGTGATGTTAATTATTTTATTAATGATAAATACAAAGGATTTTAGAGATCGTTTTAGGTCATTAAAAGTATCCCAATGACAATAATTCTAGAATAGTATTTTATTTAACCAAATTCTTTAATTCGAAACGATTATAACCACTGTATAGTGCTAAATATTTCAGTCTCAACTATCGATAATATGTTTTTTCCTCCACATGTTATATGATCATTTAAATAATTCCTTAAACATTACTTTTACACTTCTCTTTCTGTACTAAATAAGATTAGATACATATTAGAATTATAGCGACTTTTCACCCAAAGGCCGCTAACATGTCAAAAGTGAATAATGTGAATCATGTGAATTATTGCTTAAGCATTATGTTATTTAAAATATTCTTTTTCTGTACTAAATAAGATCCAAACTTATATATGGGGGTCATAGCGACTCTTCAACCGAAGATGTCTCCTAAATATCATATCTTCATTTAAAGACGCTGCTGCCATGCTATATGATCATGTGAATAATTGCTTAAGCATTACTTAAACCTGTCTCCTTCTGTACTAAATAAGATTCATACTCATATATGGAGATCATAGCGACTTTTCAACTGAAAGTTTATACCAAATATCTCATCTCATCTCAGCTGACGTTTACAAGAGTATAAATGTCTTCCTTATTAACTTTCACATTTATTTTTTATTATCTTTCTTTTTTTTTTAATAAAAAATTAAAATGTCAATTTATTTTGTTTTAGGGAATATCTGAACTTACTCCAGCTATTCGCCGTTGGATTTATTTGGCTACAGTTTTCGCACCAAACATTGTGCCCATCATTTCATACCTGATGATCGTTAGTGGTGCCTTTGCCATAATTTTTACCTTTGTTCGTGTCTACCAAACCTTCGTCTTCGCCTGTGATCCAACGCTGGAAATTCTCGAAATGGGTCGGCGTTCGCTAAGGCGCGGCAGCAGTTTCATTGCGCATCATCAGCACAAGTTTATGCACCGCGAGAGTTATACGCTGCTCAGGACGATGCCGAGCACCTTGGGTGGCGATGATAGAGAAGATGTGTTGCCAATTATAAGCAACAACAACAACAGCGATTCATAGTATTTTTTACATAAATAATTCGCTTTAAGCGCTCAAGTTTATATAGTTTTCTACTCTCTAGGGTTAAGACGGCAGGCATATTTTTATAAATAATTTTTAGTCTAACTTTTAGTAACTAGAAGAAAAACAAATTGTGATTTAAGTATGTATGTTTAGTTATTTAGGAGAGAATGTCTGTCGATTTGTACAATTAAGTATACCTATGCAGTGCATAGTACGTATGTATGTCTGTCTTTGTAGTTTTAGTCACTTAGCATAGAAAATTTGTGGCATTGAGTTTAATTGCTTTATTGTACATAATTAAAACCAAAATATTTATTTTAATTATTATTATTTAGGTACTCTGAATAATTAGCAGAACAAATTATAATTGTAATCTTAACCATTACAAAATATTTACTCTAAACTCTATCAAATCGAATTCAGCAACAAAGCCAAAACATTTTTTCGTACCATTTTAATTCATAAATTTTTTATATAATTTTTTAAATTAAGTTTAAATGTCTTCTTGAAGGCATCTTGATTTTTACGGGGAATTGTATCTTGAATCTTTGGAATCATAATATCGAATCACATAATTTTATAATTAAGCTTCACATAATTTTTAAGTGTATATACAATTAATATTAACAAATTATCTTAGTTGTAAAATTTTTCTAATGTAATTCGCTAGTCATTTTACATGCGAAATGAGAATTGAGTTTTTAATGGCAATAAGAAAATGAAAGGTAATTTTCATAAGTTTCATTAGTCACAATATAAATGCTGAAATCTAGTATTAGTATTCATATATTGTATAGATTTCAATATGCAATAACAAAGTGTTTGGTACAAGTTTTACAATAGTTTTATCAGTTTAGGTCCTTTTTAAATAAAATTTTTACAAAATATATGCAAAAATTAATGACAAATATATCTGTTTATATTTCTTTTTTATGTCAAAAAGCAGATAGTTACTTCATTAAAAAGCACAGTTTAAGAGAGTGGTCATAATTTTTTATATAATAATAATTTACGACAATCGTTTAGAGTGACCAAAACAAAACTTACGAAACGCTATGCTATCATACACAACAACAGTAAAAGATGAATAGCTGACTATATGTCTGATTGTAAAGATTGATTGATGGAAACCGTTTTTGATAACCACATCAAAAATTTGAGACTCTACGACATTACCACAAAACTCAGAAATTAAATAGAATAGAAATTGACATCATTTTGCATCAAAATAGTTAACTGCGAGTATAAACGTTCCTATCACTTCAAGCCTTTTAAACGTATAAGCATGATCCTAGCATAATCCATAATGGAACAGAGAAGATCTTATGAGCTACCAACCGAACTTATTCAACAGAAACCTTTCAGCTCTCCAAATAAGAGCCAAAACATCTCCCATTAAGGATTTCCTTGATAATATAAGAAAGAAGTTGGAGTTCCCTGCCTTTTTTTTCATTACTGACCCAGTTCAAAACTGGATAGTCAAAAAAAGTGTTATCATTTATCTCCAAGTAGATTCGACATTGTGTATTTTCTGATAAATCAACCTTATTGAGTAATCTCACATTCCATAGTGAGTCATCATACAACCTCCCAATAATATCAGTTCTGTAGATATCTCATACAAACATATCTAGATTAGTAGATGAAGTCCACACTCTGGAGGTCTCATAATTGTAAAAATATTAAAAAATTGGTAAATGGAATTGAACTATAAACTAAGTAATATAGCGAGGGTTTTGCCAAGAAAGAATATGCTAAGAGACGATGTAGTGTTTTAGCAATGTATTATCTGTAAATTATACAATATTCTCAAGGAGGATAATCGCTGGTTAATCTGGTCAACGCATTTGCTGAGGCTCGGAATTTTAACAAAAATATTGTGTGATAATTTGAATATAAGAAACTTTTCTGTGAATTGGGTACAATATTTGCTGACAGTGACTAATAATAATATCGCTTCAAAATTTCTAACGCTCTAATAGAACAGTTTAAACAAAAGGTTTTATAATAATGGTATATAATAGATGTTGTTTATCGAGCACATTAAATAATTTGATTATACTCTGTGATATTAATGAGTAAACTTAAAGCTACCTAGAAAAGGCGTCGAAATTTGGAAAGGAAAAATGTTTTGTTTTTACCTCAAGACAACACATTAGCTTTGATAGTTGTCATGCGCGAGATTCCAGAACTGCTTTATGTGTTAATTGACTATTTTTCTTATTCACCAATCATTCGATATGAATGTTCTATAAAGTTGTGGAGAGTTTGACCCATAATCAAAGTTGCGTATGAGAGCTGAGTTACTCTAACCGTTGTAGTCTCCACGTATTATCGTTGCTAAAACATTTGAATCAGAGAAGAATTTATCTCCAAGAGTTTAAAATCGTTTGTTTGAAATCATGGACAAAGACATAGAAAATGATTGACGGACTCAATCATCGTGGAAACTCTTGCATAATTCACTTGTCGGCAAACGACGCCGTGAAAGTTTCAGTGTAATTGAACAGTGTTCCTTTGGTACGGAGGTTTATTGTAGAGAAAAGGGTTATTTATTTATCATTTGTCATCTACTCTAAGCTATAAGGTTCTAAAAAGCTTGCAGTATTCGCGATTTGTCTTCGAGATGACGAGATGTCACCATGAGAATTCTTCTACACTCCCAATTGAATTGTAGGCTTTATTTATGCGCAATTCTGAGCCCATTCTGTTCATATAATCTGCTTTCTCATTTCTTTATATATTTCTATATCCAGCAACCCAGCAAAGAGATACCTTGTTATGTTCGGTGCTCACTAGTGATGCACGACATTTCATCACAATTCTCGATTTCACCATTCTAAAGTTAATTAATTAACAAACAAATGATATCATAGACAGACTGTAATAGCTTGTACTATATTAGCCTGACTGCTTTTTCAATTCAACTATATATCAATTGACTACTGTTTATATTTAAGTTTATATATGGAGCCATCATTTGCTTATTACGTATTTGAAAAACCACTATTATATTTTTTAAGCAAATCTTTGGATCAATTGACATCTTTTTGAACATTTGCCGAGATTTGTGATATCATAAGAGAAAAAATCTTTTCATGGCTAACTGATCTTGCAATATTAAATATATGATTGTGATGTTAATGTTTAAGGCTGTTCCAATCTGTCATAAGGATTTAGTATTGCACAACCTTAAGTTCTATAAACTTAAAAGAACTATGTCCGAGAATAACTTCGTTATAACAGTTTGAAGTGGTGCAGATTCAGCCCCAAAAATGGAAGTACATTTAACGATACACTCTTAAATTGTTAATTCACATCATGTATCGTAATAAATCATGGAACGAAACTTTTTACCGGTTATTTTGTTTTTTTTTTTATCACTGCAATACAACTTTCAAATCACTATAAGTATTACAAAGACTGAACGTGAAGAGAACGGACCAAAATGTGGAAGTTTCAGTTTTTAGATTTGCGAATGTGCACAATATAAACTTGGACCATCGCATACTGATCATAAATAACTATTTCAGTACATAAATTTTGTTTCAAAATTTCTGAACCTCTATAGACTTTTTCAAAATCCATTTAATAGATGATACTTCCTATAATGATGAAAGTAGATTATTAAGAATCTTTTTTTCGAACTTTTGTATATATGTTTGAATAGTTATGGTAATGTTGTATATATATATATTCAATGAAAATGAACAGATACGAATATTTTAATGAATATTTTTGCAACATATGCACTTTGTATTGAAACACAAGACGTGAACTTTTAAGAAAACCGCTTGCTCAGCGACTGAGGCAGCAAAGTTCTTTGACTGCAAATGCAGGTTCGGATAACCGCCTTAAAGGCTTCCAATTTTACTAAATGTCAAAAGCAGAAATTGAATCGAGAATGTAAAAAAGTAAAAAACTAAATGGTTTCATACGAGTATTCCTGAGTTTCACTTTGCAGAATCGTTTCGCAAACATGAGAGTTGTTAATATTTTCTTAATCTATTATTAAATTGTTGTTTTATTTGTTTCAAACAGTTACTAGCCAGTTTCTACTACATTGTTAAATGAAGTACGAAAATACAAAAAAAAATCTGCTACCAACTAAATTGTATGTGTAATGGACATTACTTTTTCCTCCCAAAAAACATAAAATTGCGAAAAAAAATCATATATCAAAATGAAAAAACATTGATATAATAGCCAGCAAAACTCAAAATGACTGACTTGGATATAATTTTTCCTACACAAAGCAAAAAAGTTATTTATTAGCCCTCTTGTAAAACATCAAAACGCACGTCAATCATAAAAACTTCAAAACGTTTCAAACAAAATATATTTTCCGAACATAAATTTTCTTTAAAAATTATACTTCGTAAAAAGAAACGAAACAGACCCACAACTCAATTCGCAAATCAAACAATCACAAACACTGGGGCTTAAGACTTAGGAGTAAAAGGGTGACCGTTGGAGTGTCCGAAACCAGTGTTGACTTTTGCCAACATACACCTACACTAACCAGCTGTAGTGCTATTTCAGAGCATACATATGCTATGCAGCATGTGGTGTCATAAAGGATCAACCTTTTATTACCACATGAAGAAACAAAAAATAAACAACAAACACAAAAGGCGGAAAAAATAAAATCGTAATTTTCAAGTGAAGAAATGTGCTGTCACAAGTTAAAAATTCGTAAATCATTTTTCAGCATTGAATAAAATTCCATTAAAACATAAAATGGAGTATAAAAAATAGTGCTCACACAGTTACCAGTGGCACAGCATGACCAACTGTTAACATCATACTCGTACTCCTCCATCTCCAACATATGGAACGCGTGCAAAACACGCCACCCACTGACCGACCACTCAAAGAAAAATTCTTTAAACAATAGACCTTCGACGTAAATCGAAAAAAGATGGTGGTTTTGAAAAGGAAAAAAAATTATTGTTAAAGTTAGTGTACGAGTACTTCGGAAAGAATTCCAAGGAAGTCAAGCAAAAAATTTACTATGAAATACAAAAGGAAAAAACAGTCGTAAAAATTGAAATAATGCAAAATAATTGAAATGTTGGAATGGTACAATGATGGAGAGCTCGTTTAATAGAAGAAAAGGAAGATGGATACTTCATTTACACTTCAATCGGCTACAGTTTATTTGGAGATCAAAAGTTGAAAACATGTGAAAATTAATTAAACTATTATGAAGTTGTCACATGAATATATAAACAATAGTTTTCTTACCTTGGATTATAAAATCTTCTTAAGAAGATTTACATTGTTCTCGAGCAATGTAATCGAAATTCTGCGGTCTTTATGTAGTCTCCATAAAGAAAGACAAAATCGTGAAAGAGGACCAGACCATAAAAAGTTAGCAATTTTTAAAATATGTGGTATCCTTTTGTAACGACTCAAAACTTCAGTAAGACAGGATGCAAGAATGATTATAATTTTATGAAATCATAAGAGAAAAAATATTTTTATGGTTGACTGAGTTTGCAATATATTATATATAATGGTGATGTTAATGTTTATAGTGATTTCAATAGAAGATAAGAAAAACAGAGGTAACATACACTTTGAAACGACTCAAAGAAATAGTAGCTACTTAAGTAGGACAGGATGCAGAAATCTTGTCCGAAGTGATTAAGATCATCTTTGCCGAACACTTCTTACTTCAGTTTATGGATTGAAGAGTTCATTTTTAAACCAGCGAGCAATATAATTACCACACGATCGCCTTTATATACTCTTCGTGGAGGAAGGCCTTGTCATTAAAGAAGATCTGTAAGTTTACATGCAGCATTGTTTGAAATAATAGGTGCTTCTTTGTTATTAC